TCAATTTAAGCATTAATTCCCCTGATGAACTTCGATTAGCATCATCTTGAACCAAATGTTTTAGCATACGAATATTACAATCATTGAGTTTTTTCGGTCTGCCGGACCGAGAACGATCTTGAAAACCGCCTGTTTCATCATATCGTTCCAAAGAACGTTGTAATGAAGCCCGCGAAACATCAGCATCTTCAGCTATGGCACGATATGACATACCAGCTCTTCTCAATGCAATGCATTGAGCCCGTTGATAATCACGGATTTGTTTCTCTGTCATATTATTTTGTCAAAGAAAAATTCCCAATTAATTATTGGCGCAGAGTCTTTTTCTATCGATTGGTAGATGTCGCACCTCAGTTTGAGTAAATAATGATAGTGTCACGGAACTTTTTGCCGCTGAAGGTATTTTATATCGATTTGTTTTTAATGATGAAATGATCTGTTCTTGGTTTCTGAATAAATTATGAAAGGTCTACTAGTAATTATACTAGACATATGAATAGTTCCAATTCAATTCAATATAAAGTTTTAGGAGGCGATTTACAAGTGTCATGAAACTTTTTGCCACCACTGTATGTCCCACCGCCCTTTAAAGGGTTAATCAAGTTTTTTCGATGACAACAAGTTTTCTTTTATGAATTCGAAAATTTTGCTTCCCAATAAATAAATATATATCTTTCCGAAATCATCTTCTATCATCCTATTTGCTTAAACAGTATTCACTCAATCTACTGTCCTCAGATCGATCATTAATTCAAAAATTCATTGTGTAGCAGGAAATTATAAGAATGATTACAGGTAAAGGATATCTCTATAATACTGACATTTATTTATCATCCATACTCGCATCCTTGCTAGTATTAAAAATCATTAATAAATTCGTCAACTATTCATTGCAATATGTGTGTTCAAATGCACTTATTTACGTTAAAGAACAATCTTTAGAACTGAATCAAGTTAACATCACTACTCGCATTCATAACCTCTTAAGTTTCTGTTACTGGATCATACAATTCAGCACCATTAAGATAAATACCATTATCATCTCCACCAGTAACCAATACTTTACCATTCGTTAAAATAGATGCTGCGTGATCTTTTCGTGCTGACTTCATGTTACCAGCACTGCTCCAATTACCTGTTGATGGATCATACAACTCAGTGATATTGTACCCAGCAATACTTCCACCAGCAACTAATAATTTTCCATTTATTAACACGGATGCTGTGTGATACCATCGTGTAGTGATTAATCTACCAGTTATAGTCCAATTACCTGTCGCTAGATCATAAAACTCAGCAGTATATGCAGCGCCAGTGGAACTATCTCCACCAACAACTAAAACCGTTCCGTTTTTTAAGACGGATGCTGTGTGCCCTCCTCGTCCATGATGCATTCTACTAGTCAACGTCCAGTTACCTGTTACCGGATCATACAACTCAGTACTGCTTCCATAGTCAGCAAAACCTCCTCCAGTGACTAACACTTTTCCATCTTTTAAGATGGATGCAGTATGGGAAATCCGTTCAATATGCATGTCACCAGTACGTGTCCATTCACCTGTTAATGGATCATATAGTTCAGCACTCCGTTCCGAATCACGTTCACCCGATCCACCAGTCACTAGTATTTTTCCATTTGTTAAAACAGACGCTGTGGGATAGTCGTTCGTATGTCATGTTACCAGTCACGGTCCAATTACCGGTTGTTGGATCATATAACTCGGCACTTTTCGTCGACACACCATTCGAAACTCCACCAATAACTAATACTTTTCCATCTTTTAAGACGGATGACTTATGTTTGTATCGTGCATTATGCATGTTACCAGTCATTGTCCATGTTCCCGTCGATGGATCATACAGTTCAGCACTACTTAGAGAATGATTATAATTATATCCACCCGTAACTAACACCTTTCCATTGGTTAAAACAGATGCTTGATGGTAGCTTCGTGGACTGTTCATATTACCAGTACTAGACCAGCCTAAAAGAAAGTACTCAAAAATGTATTGATTTTGTTGTACATAGGCTTTTTATAAGGTTAAATAATCGTTTCTTTACAGCTTACTTGGTCGTTGAGTTGTGGTCGTAGTCGTTGTTGACGATGAAGTCGATGTCGTTGTTGTTGTTGTTGTTAGTGGTGTTAGCGTTGATGTAATGGTCGTGGTAGAGTTTACTGGCTTGGTAGGTGCGAAAACAACGAATTTCAACAATAGCGACAACGTCACTATAAAAACTACGATAATCACACCAGCAATACCGATGATTTTCGCTCGTGGGTCACGCCACCATTTTTGCAGACGACTATTTCTATTGAGTGATTCACTTTTATTCTGATTATTATCCATATTTATGTCTCACCAACGATATAAACCGAAAAACTATACTGAACTATCACCTGACACAACTTTATATTTTATCTACTCTCTAAGATAAGTATGAAAAGATAAGTAATGTTATTTCTAACACCAAAGGGACTATTGTATTCTTATCTCTTGTTAATAAATTCTACATGTAAAACTAATAATGTAATACACAATGATGCATCTACCTTCATCTTCACGATGCACATAGATGAAAATCAGATCTCTTTTTTATAATATACATCAAATATACAGCATCTGTATGATTAGCAGAATAAAATACAACAATAATTTTTTCTTATCATAGAATTCATATATGAAGTTTCAATCAACATCTTGCTAATGGAACATAATTTTTACAGATTGTTCATCCAGCATAACTTCCTACATATATTTTTTTTATTTTCCAGAAAACAAAAAATTTTGTTTTGATACATATTCTTTTTCTTCTCTTGATTTCCATAATACAAATGTGTATTTCTATTGTTTAAAAGAAACACTTCATATATAATTAACACATTTACCACGACAGGTCCCACCGGTGGGACCCGCTATAATTCGACAATAAAATTTAAAAAAAACACTTTCGTTTACTTTTTTCTTCAACTGAAGGTTAGGGGTGTCACTTTATTTTATAAAGTAAAGATAAAGCCATGAATGATGATCCAATTGAACGTGGCATTGAAACCATTCCAAAAGATTGTGATTTATTGAACGTTATTATTGATGACAGTTTAACAGATAGTTGGGAAGAAGATATTGAAATTGACGTTAATGATCCAACATTATCCAAAGAACAAAAATTAATATTATCATTGATGGCCAAGTGTCGGAAATTAATCCTTATGATTAAAAAATCGTCTGTTTTTAGTGATTATATTAAAAAACAACGTAAATTATCAAATATAAAACGTGATTTAATACAACGTACAAGATGGAATTCAACATATTTGATGATCCATTTATTAAAGGTTTTACGTTCAACTATTGAAAAGTTGTTTCGAGATAAGCATTCTTTAACCAAAAATTGTGAACAACTTCAGAAACATAATAAACTTGAATTAACAAGTTCTGAATGGAATTATTTAGAAGAACTGTGGAAGGTTCTTCATGGTTTTTATTGTACTACTATACCTATATCTGGAAGAAATTATTGTATCATTGGTGCATCATTTTTTGTATTAATGCGATTGAAGGCATATTTGTTCGAAGATCGAAAAGATAGTTTATTCATCAAGCGTTTGAAAAAATTATTATTGACAAAATTTATACAATATTATGAAATAGATCGAAATCAAATGGACATCTTGAAAGTAAGTAAAAAGTCCATACTACCTTTCTCTTCCTCCTCTCGATGATTGTGATCTCTCAATAGAAATGAAACTAATTTTACGACAGACAGAACAACGTAAGTAACTATACTTTAGAAAATAATACTGTGGATGTTTTCATATAATTGCCTATCGTTTTATTTTAGTTATATGTTTTTTTTTTATCCATTTAGCTATTCGATGTTGACAAGCGTGGTGTAGAACAGCACGTTAAACAAACATTAAATAATGAATCTATAAATGTAAACAATCAATCATCGTCATCATCATCATCATCACAATTAAATACATCTTCAACGACTACAGTTGATATAATCAATTCTACTACAACATTATCCACAACACATTCTTCCCAAAAGAAAAAAGTAACAGCTATGGAAACTTTCCTAATGACTATTGGCGATACTAGTTATTCTACACCAGCTCCTACAAATCGTGCATCTATTATAGAAGAAATTTATAATTATCGATTATTACTTGGCAAATTCAATCATGATCGTATTCCAGATGTATCAGCGTTTGTCGAAATTTGGACAATCTATGGAGGTGCACTTCCTTCTCTCTTTAAACTCGCTAAAGAATTCAATTGTACACCAGCAACAAGTGTTGCTTCTGAAGCTGCTTTTGCAGCTCGAAAAGAACGTTCACGAATATCACCAGAAAATCTATCAGCTGCAATTTTTTTGAAAGTAAGTTGCGCATTACAAACGAACGTTTAAATAATCATATTTATCTCACATTCTACTATTTAAACTTAATTATCGAATAATCCTTTTTTAGGACAAACTTGGTGGTTAATCATATGAAATCGTTAAATTTATTCGAACCAAACTTTTATTTTGAATCTAGTCGGTCTCACGAATTAGATTATTATTGTCTTTTTTATGAAAAATTGTTCTCACAGATAGACTATTTTTTGAAAAATCTCTATGGATATTTTATCTATGTACAAAAAGAGTTTGAAGATTACATGTATAACTATCATTAAATTGTTTCTGTTTTTCTATTATTAAAAGATAAATTATATAGGAATAAATTAATTATCACATACTATTATGATAGAAGTGATTAGGATATTATTATATGATAGACCAGTTGATTTTATAGCCAGTCGGACTGTACTGGTGCACCCCTAATCTAGCATGAATGAATTAGGATGTCAGCCATTCAATACATTAGATTATTTATTTGTATGAGTCTCGTGTCATGAAATCCAGTAATTGAGCGGTTTGATACGTCTTTTGAAAAGTCTTTATGAAAAGAAAACCATTTGAAAGTTAAGCCACTCGGTCTCGGCGAGCACTATCTACTTTTCTAAATGTTTGCAGTTACGGGTAAAGGTGGTTTATATTTATCATCAAACTTGTTTTCATGTTGTAGAATTCGTATTGTTAACTGAAAACTAATCTTATTTTGGATGCGAATGTCATCTTCAATTTCTCAAAACAAAAAAGGTCTAAAGAAAATATTTGACTATATGACGTTTATTTTGAAAAATTCAGTCGACGGTAAAGCGAGTCTGCCTTTCGACGAGCGCGTTATTTATTTTTAATCAGTGCAAATGCGAAGAAACAAATAAATATAAGATACTCATCTTTATGAAATTAACTGTGAGGAGTAATTATATTCGTTCAATAATAATTTCGAATTTTAAAGATTAATTTAACTACAAGTAACGCGATGACTACATCGCTGACCCTCTACTGAAAGGAATTGATATTAGGAAGTTTATGATGTGCATGCATGTGTTGCATAAATATGATAGTTTGCTTCTATATGGTGTACACACTCTAAAAAAATAAGGAGCTTTACCGAACCTAAAAGGTTTCCTATACTTCGACTGAACGATTTTAAGTTCAGAAAAACGAAAAATGTTCCGTGCTTGAACTGCCGAACTATTTTAAGTTCC